TTTTAAAAAAAAAAAAAAAAAAAAAAAAAAAAAAAAAAAAAAAAAAAAAAAAAAAAAAAGAATTGTAGGGAACTGGATAATTACAGAAAGGTAACACAGAAAATACACTTTACCCTTAACTCTCCATCATTTTCTTCAATGTCTGGTTTGTTCTCACGCCTCTTCCCCTGCCTCATCTGTGTATGTTTAAAATTTTTTTAACAGAATTGGAATCAATGGTATAAAAATATTGGGTTCTGCTTTTTCACTTGACATCATGTCATAAGCATTTTTTCAGTTATTGAATATTCTTTGAAAACCCCATTTTTAATAACAGCAAAATAGTACATTGTCTAGCTCTGTTGTAATTTATATGAGGGTACTTCACGAAGTCCAGGGAAAAATTGGTGTTATCTTTTAATTCTATTTTTCTATGAACTCTGTGAAGTACCCACGTATTATACATTTTCTATTTTTAGACACTAAGGTTAGTACTGATTTTTTTTTTTTTTAATTTAGATAACACTGTCTTGGACATCTTTTTTTTTTTTTCCCCTTTTTGTCTTTTTTCATGTCCGGCAACGGACCGCAACCCTCAGTGTCGCGCCCGTACCGGACCGGGACCGGCAACGGGATCGCAACCCTGGGTGCTGCGCCCGCCCCTCGCTCAGCCAGTGAGTGGGAACCGGTCTGTATGTGGGATCCAAACCCTCGGCGGGAGCGCTGCCACACTCCCAAGCGGTGCACTGTAGCAGTGCGCCACCGGGCCGGCCCCTTGGACATCTTTAAAAGTGTTTTTTGCAAGGTTTCTGCTTATTTCCTTAGGACAGATATTTTATGAAAGTATAATAACTGAGTCAAGGGGCATGAGGTTTTTAAAGATTCCTGATGCTTAATGTAGATTGCTTTCTAGAATGGTTGAACATTATGACTGGTTTTTAAAAAATACTTTTCCAATGTAGAAGTTCATACAAAGGGTATATTTTGCTGTGACATCAATCTGTGCTATCATATTTGTTGCAAATATTTCCCCCAATTTTTCCCTTGAATTTTGGCAAATGATGTATTTGGAAGGACAGAATCATTTTTATAAAATACTAATAACTACTGTTTATTGAATACTTACCATGTGCTGGGCATTAAACAAAACTTTGTACATGGATTATCTCTTTTAGTGTTTGTGATATCTTCAGTGGAATGCAACATTTCCCTATATTATAGGTGAGGAAATTGGGGTTCAAGGTCATATAGTCAGTAAATGAATATGCTGGAATATGAATGAATGAACAAACAAGCTCATGTTATGATGCCATGATTTAGAATTTTCTAATGTATTTGCTTTGTCGTAAGAGGAGCATTTAAGCTAGCCAATTTATTATGTTAATGTTTTAAATAGGCGATGTAGTCATTGAAAAAGTAGCAAAAGGAACACAGTAAAAGTCTCCCTCCTGTCTCTGTTCCCTGTCTACCTGCTTCTTGCCTCATTCCCTACCTCCACTCCAGATACTCATCTTAATAGTATAGTATCTTGTGTGTGCTGTCATGCTTTTTGTATGCAGATACAAGTGAATATGTATATGTCTATATATGTCTCTATGTATGTATATGTCTGTGTGTGTATATACATATACATATACACATACACATACACATACACATACATATACATCCTTATCTCCCTCTGCCCTTATTTTACCCAGAGTTAAGACTGGTCAGCTTAGGTTACGTGCTTTTACAAGACTTGGCTACTTCTTTAGTGTAAAGGAAATCACAAAGTGAGTCTCTTTTTTTTTTTTTTTTGTCTTTTTTGTGACCAGCCGCACCACCGTACTCAGACAGTGAGCGCACCGGCCATCCCTATAAAGGATCTGAACCCACAGCGGGAGCGCTGCTGCGCTCCCAGCGCCGCACTCTCCCGAGTGCGCCACAGGGTCGGCCCACAAAGTGAGTCTCTGATTGAATTATTTTTTATCTTGGAGAGATTCTTTATGTAGTGAGTTCAATTTGTTTAGATGTTAATTTCATATTGAAATCGATTTTGGGCCAAACTCCAGTACTGCTAAGTCTTATGTAGCCAACAGAAGCTGAGATTGCAACCAGCTGCCATATGTTGTGAGGAATAAATCCAGAGGACTGGTGCAGATGGTTCTCAAGAAAGGAGTTAGGCACCGCTTGGGAGTGCAGTGGCCCTCCCGCCAAGGGTTCGGATCCTATATAAGGATGGCCAGTGCGCTCACTGGCTGAGCGCGGTGCAGGTGACACCAAGCCAAGGGTTGTGATCCCCTTACCGGTCACAAAAAGGACAAAAAAAAGAAAGAAGTTACTACTCTCCGGCCGGCCCCGTGGCGCACTCGGGTGAGTGCAGCGCTGGGAGCACAGCGACGCTCCTGCCACGGGTTCGGATCCTATATAGGACTGGCCAGTGCGCTCACTGGCTGAGCACGGTGCGGGCAACACCATGCCAAGGGTTGCAATCCCCTTACCGGTCACGAAAAAGACAAAAAAAAAAAAAAAAAAAGTTACTACTCTCAAAGTCTCTAGAACTATGTATTAACAAAAGGTTATGTTGTGTGACATGCTTCTTAATACACCCCTTTTCCTTTCCTAGTTAGAGTGATTAGTAAAATATATACCAAAATTGTTCATATAAGGTGCTTTCTGGAATGATTTGACCTAGTGCTCCTTGTGGGTGGAGCTCTGGGTGACTCCGGAGACTCATGCGAGACAAGAGCTGGGAGAAGTGTTGGTCTTACCACTAAGTAAGACTTACACAAAGGACTTGGGCCCCTCCTGAAGCCACTTATGTGGAGCTTGCTGATCCTGTCCTGCCTTTATTTTTCTCCCTAGGTATTGGCGGAGGACGTTGGGCATGCAGGTCCGCTACATTCACCATGAAGACTATCAGTTCTGCTATTCCTTCCGGGGCAGGCCTGGGCACAAACCCTCTATCCTCATGCTCCACGGATTCTCTGCGCACAAAGATATGTGGCTCAGTGTGGTCAAGGTGCAGTTCTAGATTCTTCTCTCTTAGAAGGAAAGGGCTTCCACGTGGACATGATGTCATCAGCAATGGCAGAAAGCAAAAGGAACCCAGAACTGTGGTTTAAGTCATCTTAAAACTAATGGAATATATTATTCAAATTTTTTTGTCAGACGAAATGTATTGAGTTGAATATCATGTATAACATCTGTGCCTTAGAAGTCTTTTCACCTTATGAATATTACTTAGGGGAGATTTCTGACACAGCTTTATCTCAGAACTGTCATGATGATCAAAATTGGGTTTTTTAAAAAACCATTGTTTTATACTCCAGTTTCTTTCCCTCTTTCCCTTCCCTCTACTCCTTCCACCCTCCTCCCCCTACCTTCTACTTTTGCCTTTTCTTTTTCTTGTCCTCAGCTATTTAGAGAAGTGATCTTGATATGGCAGCTTTCTGAAATAGTTTTCCAAGTCACTTTTAGTCTTGGTTTACTTGAGTGTGGCAACTTAATGTAGTCGGTGGGAGTGGCCAGCTGGTAAAGGTTGGGGCTGCAGGAGTCTTGTGGGGAAAGCACATCCCAGGCTCCCACCTCAAGCAGGACCATACCAGAGGGATCCCAAGTATTACATACACCAGGAGGAAAAGGCTCACCCATCCTCTAGTTACTTGTGTTCTTATTTCCCAGTTCAACTCTGAGGACAGTCATCTTCATGCCTTAATACTATACAGGAACTTTTCACTTCCTGTCCCCACCTCAGATAAGCATCTTTCCTATAACTGGATATTTGTTTAGTTGACAATCAATGTTTTTCAGTTTCCTAGTTAAAAGTGGTACATATCTAAATGGAAGAAGGTGTTTCATCTCAGGAATTAAACCTTAATGGAAAAAAAAAGTTGAAACCAGAATCAGGGAAATCTGACATGGTTCTTGGGGAAAGCGTTGTTCCTATTGGCTCTGGAGCTGGCCAGGGTTCTGGGAGGTCAGAATAATCCCTGTTAGTTCCAAGTTGGCAGGTGCATGGCTGGATTAAGCGTGGAGGGGTGAGAGAAAGGAGACAGGTAGTTCCTGCCAACTGGTGTCAAGAAAGAGCAAGAGAGATTTTTGTCCCCCCTTTCCAGTCATCCTCTGAGTCCCATCTGTCTATTAGTGTTTGGGGACCTCTGCTCTTTATGAGGCTACTGGCTGTGTTTATTCATGTCAGTAGGAGAAAACACTGGGTGGCCCAGACCCATACATCCCCAGGAATGGTTGTTCAGGTCACTTGGTAAGTGGGGACAACCTCCTCAGAAAAGTGGGCAGACACATTCTGCATACCACATACTGACTCTCTGGGTCTCTGTGTCCTCAGTTCCTTCCAAAAAACCTGCACTTGGTCTGCGTGGACATGCCAGGACATGAGGGCACCACTCGCTCCTCCCTGGATGACCTGTCCATAGATGGGCAAGTCAAAAGGATACACCAGGTAAGCAAGAGGCCCCACCAAAGATTGCCCAGACTGGCTCTTGACCACCATCGTATGCCCAAGTTTGGAGAGTAGGCAAGAGAGTTGCATGACAACTCATGGCCAGCCTCCAGTACATTCTGTCCATTCCAGCTATGGAGGGCCAGGGCTTATTACAGACTGTTCTTTTCTAAGCTATTGCAGTTGGTTCTGAAGAAATACAATCTGGGCATTTTCTCAGCTCTTTGAAATGGAGTTTAGAATTCCTCAGACCATTTACCTCTCTGGGGATCTATTTTTCTGCTTACCAGCTGCATGATGACAGCAAGAGCCCCTCTGCCTCGTTGTGGAGAATGGAGAGAGTGCTCTTTGCATTTTGTCCTGTTTTAGCTTCTATTTCTAGCCCCATCCAGCTGTGCTTTTAAGGTCATGGGGGCTCACAAACCATTTCAGAATTTGGTAGCCTCTAAGTTTCAGATTGACATTAGATATTTTCCCCAGATGAGGATATTCATTTGATGTTAGCCTGCCCCATTATGCTGTGTATTCTAATGAGGTCAGGAACCTTGTCTCTTTGACTCTTCGCTGTATCCTCCCTTGGCAGCTGACCATCATTCCTCGTACGTAGTAGATATCCAGTAAATAATTTTTAGATGGGTGGATTGATCCAATTAGATGGTTGGTTGGATGGCTGATTGGATGGCTGGATGATTGAATAGATGGGTGGGTAGATAGCTATATGAATGGATGATTGGATGGATGGGAAGGGCTTTAAATTAGGGCAGGGGGCAATTGATCCAATTAGATGGTTGGTTGGATGGCTGATTGGATGGCTGGATGATTGAATAGATGGATGGGTAGATAGCTATATGAATGGATGATTGGATGGATGGGAAGGGCTTTAAATTAGGGCAGGGGGCAGGCTTGTTAGCTCAGTTGGTAAGAGCATGGTGCTGATAACACCAAGGTTCAGAGTTCGATCCCTGTTCTGGCCAGTCACCAAAAACTAAAATGTTTTAATTAGGGCAGGAGTCATCAAACCTATGGGCTATTTTTGGCCTGCCACCCGTTTTTGTAAACTAAGTTTTGGAACACAGCCATGCTCATTCATTTACATATTGTCTTTGGCTGCTTTAGTGATACAACAGTGGAGTTGTAACAGAGATCATTTGGCCCACAGAGCAGAAAATATTTACTCTCTGGACCTTTATAGGAAAGTTTGATGACTCTTGAATTAGGGAAAACCTTGTTGGTTTTATACATATAAATGACACCTCAATCTCTTGTGCCAGGTAAAGAGAAGTGCATGCATGCCACAGGGCTCGTCTTGATAACGTATCCAGTGGAGTTTCAGTCCGAAATTGTCTTCCATCAATAGCTGTTTTCAGTTGTTCGTAGGAAGTACGGGGGCTTCTACTCTGTAATCATCAGTGTCCTTATGTACAGCTGTGTAATCAAGCTTCTTTCTCATTTCTCTTCCTAGTTTGTAGAATGCCTCAAGCTGAACAAAAAACCCTTCCACCTGGTGGGCACCTCCATGGGTGGCAACGTGGCTGGGGTATATGCTGCTTACTACCCATCAGATGTCTCCAGCCTATGTCTCGTGTGCCCTGCTGGTGAGTTATGAGGCTAAAACATCCCTGTGAGTGACTTGAGCACAGCGGGGTCTGAATCTCTGAAGAAACAAATGTCTAGTATCTGCCATGACTATTTTTTTAGGATCATCTTTTTGATATGTACTTATATATATGTCAACGTGAGATGTAACATCTCCAGAAATTACTATCTGAAGTTGTATTTTTTAATTCATTTTTCTTCTATAAGTCTTCAAACTTAGATTTATAATATGTAATAGATAAATTCTTATTTACTTTCTCCTCTCTCTCTGATATTTTATTGGGGTATTCACACATAGTAAATTGTCCCCATTTTAAGAGTATATCTCAATGACTTTTTACATATGTAATTACCATCCAGATCAAGATGTTATGCCCATTTTATAGATGGGAACATTGAGACACAAAGAAATTACGTTAGTGCCAGAGGTAGGATAGGAACCGATTGTAGGCTGCTGACCTCAGAACCCAAGCTATGGCTTTTTTGGAAGTCCTTTCATATTTGCTACCTTTTTATATGATTCAATCAGAACCCAGCCATGATTTGAATACTTATGCCTTTTACTGAAACTGAAATTTAATTGACCTTTAAAATTCTTCTGCCACTTTGAAAGTTAATAGTTTTCAGATCTTATAGGGACATTGAAATTGAAGATGAGCCAAAGACAAAAGGTTTTCTCTTCTTTTTCCAAGCACCATGTCTGAAATCATTCAGTCTTTTAATAATAAAGTTTGATAATTGAAGGAACAGCATCTATGGAAGGTTATGGAAAGTCAGATCTAACTGACCGTTTTAAGTGTAATGTTCATTTGCTCAGAGAAGAATTTCACATCTGAGTTTTAATTGGAAAGTTAAAATTAAGTTTGTATGTGAAAATGAAAAAGTAGAAACAAACTCAAGATTATATCCTACCTAGGATTTTGAATTTTAAATTTACAGAAAAGTTGCAAACAGGTACAGAGAGTCCCATATACCTTTACCCAGTTTCCCCTGTTGTTAACAGCTCATATTACTACAGTAAATTGGTCACAACTAAGAAACCAACGTTGGTACATTACTATTAACTACACTCCAGACTTTATTTGAATTTCATTTAGTTTTTCCATTAATATCATTTTTGTGTTCCAGGATACACGTGACATTTAGTCTGGGATTATTTTTAAAGAGAGAAGAAATAGATAATGTAATTTGCTCCATGGCATCGTGAAAGCCACACACGATATCCATGTTAGATTTAAAGGGGCTGCTGGGTATAGATTTATAAAGTATAGATTTCTGCAGCATGACTGACAGTGTTGATGTTCCTGCCTTTCTTTTTAAAATCTAGCTCTTTGGCTAAGTTAAACACCTAGAAATTTGCTCAATGTTGGAAGTGAAAATGAATTTTGCCCTCTTGTATAACATCAGCTTCCACGGACTCTCAGGTTATGCTCCAGGGCGATAGGAAATAATGGGAAATCTCAAAGAGAATTAGTCTCAGCATTCACCTGATGCTGTCCTGGAGGAAGAGGGACTGTGTAAAGGGCCACAGTGTTGCTTCCCGGTGCAG